TTATTATTATTATTATTATTATTATTATTATTATTTATTTGACTCTCTATTATTGTTTCCTATTATTGTTCAGTTGACTTTTCTAAATGAGCTAATTTCCGGGGAGTACGGTCTTTTTTCTGTCCCGTGATTCATATACATGAGAATGGAGCTAGAAACGTCATCGCAAACACTGCGTCAAAACTACGTCCAACTCAGGATGACCGTGTGGGATCGCGGCATGGTTTTCCCAAACGTCGAACCAGCTATATCTTTTTGGCACTAGTTGATTGTGCTTGTGCAAACACTTTTCGCCATATATAACTATTTTTCATATAAGTTTTTGTAAAAAGAGAGAAAGTACACAAAGCAACAAATTACAGAAGCAGTCAATTATACCTACTTTTGATAAAATTTGTTTTTTGTCTCACGTAATCCTGCCAAAAAGATTAAACTAGTTTTACAAAAAGATAGTTGATTCAGAGCCACTCAAAGTCATGCAGTGGTTTTTCTACGCGATGACCGCGATTGCATTTCCCAAATAAACATACCCGTACCCCCACATGTACATGACAGCAATTTATCCACAAGTAGTAGTGGGTAGGTTAAGCGAATGCAGAAGGTTTGGGCTAACTTTCCATCTTCAGACATATTTGACTGAGTCTTTGATTTTCACTGGAGCGCTAACCTGCCTATCAAACAGACTTTGATCGGCCTCAGCAATTAGTTGGCTGTGATCCTCAGTACCTCTGGAAAAAGCTTCCTGTGCAGCAAACTACAAAAATTTATTTCCTCTAGAATCTGACCTGAAACTGATTGCAATCGCTCCGTCGTCATGAATTACTGCCGTAAATCCGGAACATAACTCTTGGCTCGCCGTAGGGCCACATGTTGAATTAACTTGACTTTTTAACTTAATGGCAATAATTTTTTAAATTTATGAATCTCTGAGTAACCAACTACTCCACTTACGGTAGCGTTAGTGAACCGATTTGCGAGGCACAATTCCGGCGAGTTGCTGTAGGCGGCCGCAGCCAATGGCAGCATTTTGGTACGGGCGAACATATCCGAATACGTCGCTTTACGCGATATTGATTCGGCGAGTATGAACGTAACCAAATCGCACAGAGCGAGCAGGCCTAACATTCAGCTGGAAATGTGAGTCGTCGTTTGAAACTAACGGTCATATAATTATTAAATACATTCAATTAGTCCACAATGAGCGAGAGGACAAATTCTAGAAAAGCTGTTCAAGTTTTCGATGGTGATCATTCATTTTGCGAGTATAACAAGCCCTATTCAGTTGTGTGGGACTTCTCCCATTCTATGAAGTTCGCTTACAAGATGTTTGGTCTCTTTTCCCAATATATGCGCCATGTTCCTTCTAAATGGTGAGGTAGAGTTTTTGCTGTGCCAACTTCTACTGTTTTAATCAAGAACTTACAGTGCCCAGGCTTGCCATAAATCCTAATTAAATCACTTTCCCAACATTGAAATGGATTTTGGGTAGACATTTTACTCATAATTTTCTCAAAAATATGAGCAGAAATGAGTTGAAAATCAAGTAGGAGGACTGAAAAAGTAGATGCAAGTGGAGAAAGTTGAAAGTCGCCATCAATATGATATGAGTCGTACAGCGTGTAGACGCGTATATCATGAATTACTTTTTGAGCCAAAACCAGTTTCGAGGAAGTCATCGCATCAAGAAATTTCTTGCACTCGTTGAACAAAAGTTCATCGTTGTACGTAGGAACCGGATGTCAGAATAGTTAGGAACTCCAAGAATAGGTCTTTCGAGAGACTTTTGTTACTCGCCATCGGTGAAAAATTTGTTGCGGAAGTCTTTATTGGGAAAAGGCTTTATTTGATTTACTTCGGAGCAGAAGTGGTCACAGCAC